CAGTAACAGACCAAGCAATCAATAATTCTACTCAAGTCTAAGTTGGGATGAATTTAATTCCAGTTGTTTATTGAAACATGGACAATAGGTTATTTACAAATGTATCATTACAGATTTATTTACAAGAGCATAGACCCTTAAAAGAAATTATTCCACAGAAGAAAACATTTTTCTCATAGCAGTCTTGACTACAGAGAGGACTTGGGTCTTGTGAGGACTCCTTCCCACTAACCGTTAACTTCTGATAAATCCTAGAGAGGTAGTGAATTTCCCGCCTGAAAACCATTTTGTATCCAGATAGCCTTGATAAGAGTGAGACTTTCTAAGGTACTCTTCCATGAGCAAATGGTAATAGACTCAGTCCTATGCATGTATATTGAGTATAATCACAATGGCTCACAGTTCAAGAGAGTGATAACCATATCAATTCTAGAGGACAAAGTTTCTTCTCTTCCTCTGGTTCTGAAATTCCTTTAGATGTTCTTACTCAATGGTCTCTGCACTATAGAGAGGTAACGTAAATGTCCCCTTTGTGCTGAGCATTGAACAGTCACATATGCCAGAAGCCTCCTATTAGTCTGCTTGCTCTTACTAGGCACAGTGGTATGGTAGTTGGTCCTTTCTTCTGACTGGCCAAAGTGGGGTATGTCCTTGTATGCTACCTGATGTAAACACTCAGGCTCCCTACATCTGATAGTATCTGGGCATGAGCTTTGGTTAGCTCCTCACTCTTCATTGGCTCCATCTCCATCCTGGGCAGAGTGAACAGTTTTCATTCCCAGTGTATGTTTGTGTAGTTCAGAGTCATAACTGCCCACTCTAGGACAACCTTAGTATTTCCCTTTAAGTTTTCTGTCATTATATAATCATTACTTCTTTGCTCAGGTTTGAAAGCCTTCTGTACTCTTGTAAGTGCTGAATTTAGTTTCTGCCAGGTTTTTCCCTATAAAATCTGGCTAAAGAAATATTGGAACTCTCAAGTGTCTCAGAAAGGCCCCTCTTATGTTGGTTTTTCTCATCTGTTCTCAATTGCTTTAGCAATTTTAAAACCTAGTCTAAATCATTCCCATCTCCAGAGCCTCCCTTACCTTATAAAATCATGTTCCACCATGGGTCTCAGGAAAGCCACTAAAGCCTGAAAATCCCTGTTGAATTTAAATCTTCCTACCTGTGAGCACAATCCTATCTGACTCAGTTAAGTGGGTATTGCACAGTTCCTTTCTCATGCCTGATACCTCTAGTATCAGTTGCTAATATTCCTGGTGCTGGAATTCTTGGCCATTCCCCCAGCTGCATGACCACACATGTGCTGTTCAGATGTTTAGTCATTCCAGGGCTTTACGTCTACGTAATCTGTGTGCTGTATGGTCACATAATTTACACTGCAGCGTGATCACTCAATCTATGTGCATGCATGGCATAGCTCCATAAGCCCATATGCACATGTGCAGGGGAATGCATAAAAGGTAGATTACAGACTCTTCCCCTCCTTCTTCTCCCCACCCACATGTTTTCCACAGGCCTGATCACATTATCTTCTGTTCCTCCCTTCTCCTAATACAACTCTGATAGTGAGTTTTGTCATGACTCATGGCTTTTCTTGCTTGGTAACAGTGCCTCTTAATGAATAATGTTGGGCTGCCACATTAAAACCAACATTGGTGCTGAGACAAAGCAGACTCTCCCAGCATTCTGTGCTTGGGAACCTATGCCGAGGTTTTGCTCCATCTACAATGCCCTCTTTTTTCATTTGCCTGGCCACCAGACTGCTCCACACAATATTGGATGCTCAGATTGGTGAGTTTTTCCTTTCCAATTCCTCCCCATTTCCCACGACTGCAGCCTGAGATAATATTTCTTGCTGTCAGACCCCCGGAGGGTCCTTGGGCTGCATATGCCATGACTCATTCTCTCTTGATGAAGCATTGAATTTGAATGCTGTCCAGACCCCCGGAGGTTCCTCCTGGTATATATGACCCCAGCCCTTACCCCTTTCTTGATAAAGGGTTGGGTAACTTGTGACGATTCACAGATCCTTCCCTAACCTCAGGGATACCCGAGACTGGGGTCTTGGATCCCATTTGTTGTTTTAGTTTTTTATTTTCTTCTCTTGGCTGCAGTCATGGGACATAGAGGCTTCCTCCTCTTGGTCTCACTCCTCTTCTGAGAAATGCCTTCAATATCCCCAGATACCAATAAATATGGCCATGTAATAGCTGCTTGGACCCCAATATTTCACAGGAATTATCTAACTTCTGCCAGTGAATGGGCAAATGAAAAGAGTTACCTTATGCCCAAGCTTTCTACCTAAGCTCTGAACACCCCCTTTCTGATTCTTTCTCTCTTGCCCATGTGCAACCTGAACCTGAGGAATCTCTGACTCTAAAGAGCCTCTGCCTATCTGACCTCCACTCTGCTCTCCAGTATTGGGCAGGCTGCTCCTGCCCAACCCAGCTCTGGCTCCCACTTTCACTCTTGCTCTCACCTGCTCTCAAGCTGCCCTGAGTGGCATGGATGGGTCTGGGAGCAGCCTAGGACTCATGCAAATGAGTTCCTGATCAGGACTCACATTGGGATTATAACACTGATGATGGGGTCTCTAGCCAGGGATAGATTTATTATTACCTGCTTCTGGTGGGTCTCTGTAAGGCTGTCTTCAAACCAGTAAACTATAAAAAGCTAAAAAATGTAGTTTAAGGATGAAAATCCATCTCATTTCTTAGAATGGCTTAAAAGGGTTCACCTTCAATATAGTAGTTTAGACCCTGACAGCCAGAGGGCAGACAGCTCCTTATGACCCATTTTGTCTCATAGAGCTTCTCCAACACCAGGGCTAAGCTTAAGTGTCTGAAGAGAGGGTCCCTAACCCTACGGGCAGAAGTCTCAGCTGTGGCATTTAAGGTACCATCGGAGAGATGAGAAAGCCTGTGAACAGAATTGCCAAATGCTGGCACATGCTATCCAAGTGACTGCCTGAAGGCTTCCAGGTCCCTGTTCTAAGTGTGTGGTAGAAAAGGCCACTGGGCTTGTTCCTGCCCTTCCCCATGAGGGCCATCAATTGAGCCTTGCCCAAAGTGCCACTGAGAGGAGCACTGGTCAGCTGACTGCCCCCATGCATCTCCCTCACCCTGGGATCCCCCAAAGGAAAATAATCTTTTTTTTCTAAGCTTTTCTCTGTCTCACCAATATCCTCCAGACACAAGCAGCCAGAGTCCCAAGCTTAGAAAGATGATTGACAGTTCCAAAGCAGCAGACGACAATCCACCATCCCAGGATGCCTGACTACCTCAGAAGGCCCCTTCCCTAACACCCAAGAGTCAACTGACACCCACCAAGTCAGCTGGAAGCAGCTTTCAGGAAACACGGCACCCCCACTCCTGTTCACCTGCTTTTTTTAATAATAAGCAAAGAGTCTGGAATTTTGGAAATCCTGGCCACTCCCCCATCTGCATGCGCTGTTCAGATGTTTAGTCATTCCAGGGCTTTACACCCTACATAATGTGTGCACTGCGTGGTCGCATAATTTGAGCACAGCGTGATCATGAGATCTATGTGCATGTGTGGCATAGCTCCATAAGCCCATATGCACATGAGCAGAGGAATTTATAAAAAGTGGATCACAGGCTCCTCCCCCTTCTTCTCCTCCCCCCCACTCCCCCCTCTCCCCGCCCCACCCCCCTGCCCCACATGTCTTCCACAGGCCTGATCACATTCTCTTCTGTCCCTCACTTCTAATAAAACTCTGATAGTGGGTTTTGTCATGCCTCATGGCTTTTCTTGCTTGGTAACAGCACCGCTTAATAAATAACATTGTGCCACTGCATTAAAACCAACACCTAGGAACCTCAGCTGATGATAACCAAGGGTCCCCAATAGTTACTGTGAATAGTCTGCTGGGGATACATTTCCCTTGTTTTGCTCAGATTAGGAAGCCTTTGTCTTATTGTGGGATGGGTAGTTACATTACTGGGCTTCTCTATACTTACAACACTCACACTGATCCTCTTGGCTCTCATGTCTTACAAGCAATTAGAGGATCAATCATTTCTTGTTTAAAAGTTTTTCCCCCAATTCAAACAGTCCAAAACCAAAATTTCCTTCATTGTCATGGTTTCCTCTAATGAACTATAACCATGGGCCCTATCCACTTGCTGTATCATGGATTTTCCTTTTTTCTTAATTAAAGGTTGGTCCTGATAGACAATGTCTCTCATTTACATTTCACTTTCTTCCTCCCTGCTGTCCAGTATTCCCTTACCTTCCAAATTTTGTGATCTCAGAAAGTGCTATTTGTCACAGATCTATTTTGTGCTCTCCTTTATTCCCTCCTAATTAAAATAAATAAATAAATAAATAAATAAATAAATAAATAAATAAATAAATAAATAAATAACAGCGAGTAAACTCTTCCATCTCATCCCCTCTCCCATCCCCCTCTTTTTCCCTCTGTGCTAAAATTTAGGGTCTGGTACAGATGATAGTATCTGCATGTTATGCTTGGAGGATTTTTATTTTTACTTAATTGAAAATTCATGTCAAACTTAGTAATGTAGAACTCTGTCACAACAGTTGAAATCTTTCATCTCCATCATTTTGGTCAATATGTTTGGAAAAAGTGAGGTTTGACAATGATATTCTTTCTAAGATGTATTATATGATGAATCATTGGTTACCCCTGTTATTTGTCAATTCTGAGTTTGCTAGATGTTCCAAATCTCTTAATTTTTTACTCAAGCAATTTGATGGTACCAAGTGTGTGTTTGACTGGAATACTTCAGGTGAAATTTTGAAAACACTTTTGAAATGCTTCCCAAACTGTTCCACTGAGGAATCAAATATTCAAACATATGAACCTATGGAGGCCATTCTAATTCAATCCACCACATGTGTGTTTTACAACTTGACCCATATCCATACTTAGATTGCTGCAAAGTTCCATTAAAAGATTATTTTTAACAATCTAATGATCCTGCTTTTGTTTCTCCTTTGCACAAACACCAACATACGATACAAAGAAGTATTGACACTTTGACCTGATGTCTGTTGAAGAAACTCAGTGTCTGAGCCTAAGGGGGAAAAAAAGGAAGTATTGAGACATTAACAGTGATAAATAAAAGGGACCATGTGTAGTTTAGCAAACCTCAGATTCATTTAAAATGATTTTCTCCATAGTTATGGAATATGGCCTCAATGGAACCTTGACACTTTGTACTTTTATTCCATTATTTAGCTTTCAATTTTAGTCTGGTACATGTGAATTAATAAAGTAGTGAAATTAATTGTACCTTTCAGTTAAAGGATTAATTGATTTATTTATGTTGATATTAATGATCATGAAAAAGCCAGAAATAAAAACTGGAGGCTCAAGATGCATATTGCATATCCAGATAACCACTATTCTATTTGTAATTTAGCATTTATATTTTTACACACACACACACACACACACACACACACACACACACATACACACACGATTAGGAGCACCCACATACATACACAATACTAATGTGTATTTTTATTATTGGGAACATTAATAAAGACGCAGAGTTCTTGAAAGAGCACAGTGGTCTCTAAGTTTCTCACAGTCATTAGTTTGCTTAACTTAATAGCACGTATCTTTCCCAGTAACTTTGGATATGCTATTTTCAGACACTTTGACATGAAATGACTTAGGATGACATGGTACAAATGTGTCATGTATTTTTCTGTAATTGTCTGTAAATTACTACACGATAGCATCAAAGCACCATTATACTAGAAGAAATTTCTATGTATTGTTCCTAAATAATAGTAGTACTGTCAAGTTTTAGAGACTTTTTTGTATTGTTTCAAAAATGTCAATTTCTGGTTTTCTATTAAAATTATTAAATTATGCAATAATATCTCATTTTAAGCATTTCTACCACAAAATAGTCTTAGTTTCCTTCTTTTGCATATGTTGACATGCTAACCAAAGTTGTTACTATGAATTTTGAATAATAATCATACTCGATATATTTCAATGTCCCTAAATAGAATATTTTTCTGACATCACAGTTTCTAAGTTTTTGTCTCATTTTGAACAGAAAGCTGGGCTCAACACTGTCTTATCTCTCATTTCTCCTCTCTTTCATCAGCTTCTGCTACTTATATTTTGACATATCAAAACTAAGTGCTACTGTAAGTTCAAAATTTATAAGAGAAGAAATTGAGTGAGTAGAGCTCCTGCCTCATAACAAGTTTGTTGCCTGCTTGTGGGATATTCCCCTTTGTAGATGACAGCACAAATGCTCATCAGCTAACTTCCGTCATGCATAAACACTTTGGTAACATTGCTAGCTCTCTTTCTCCCTGCAACATCTACTTCCCCATATGTCAACCCAAGTGTACACATCACATATGTACTTGATTTTTATTCACAAACACTGATTCTATGAAAAGATGGTCCATGCCATTCCACGGTAGCCCATGTACTCCATATAATAAAATCAGTCTGAAACAGAAAGTTCACTTCATGGAATCTTGCATTTGAACATTGCCCATTTCCTACGTCATCCTTTAAACTATATGACTGCTGTCATAACCTCCATAACTCCTTTCTCCTAACAAAAGTCCTGATTTCCCTCAAGGTTTCTGGGTATCACAATCTATCGTCTGTCACCAATCACACTCAGAAAATGCTCATATAGTACATTTTCTGTAGAATCTCAACATTTTCAGGTTCTTCATTTGTCATATAATAAGTTGATTTGGATAACTGAATTAATGGTAATTTTACTTTTTTTCTATCATTGAAATTAAAATATATGGTGGTGTGTGCCTTTAATCCCAGCACTTGGAAGGTAGAGGCAGATGCATCTCTGTGAGTTTGAGGCCAGCCTGGTCTGCAGAGAGAGTTCCAGAACAGGCTCCAAAGATACACACAAAAAAACCCTGTGGTATTGTGTTCCCCCAAATATTGTGCATGCTAATAAACTTATCTGGGATCAAAGACAGAGCAGCCACAATATTAAACATAAAGGATAGGCAGTGGTAGCACACGCTTTTAATCCTAGCATTCCAGAGGCAGAAATCCATGTGTTCAAGGATACAGACAGGCATGGTGACTCATCACGCCTTTAATCCCAGAAAGCAAGCCTTTAATCCAGGGAGTGGTGGTAGAAAGCAGAAAGGTATATAAGGCGTGAGGGCCAGAAACAAGCAGCATTTGGCTGGTTAAGCTTCAGGCTTTCGAGCAGCAGTTCAGCGGAGAGCCATTGGGATGAGGACACAGAAGCTTCCAGTCTGAGGAAACAAGACCAGCTGAGAAGTTGGCCAGGTGAGGTTAGCTGTGGCTTGTTCTGTCTCTCTGACCATCCAGCATTTCACCCCAATAACTGGCCCCAATTTGATTTTATTAATAAGAACTTTTAAGATTCATGCTACAAACTTCTGTCTCAAAAAAAAAAAAGAGAGAGAGAAAAGGAAGAAAAAAGAAAAAGAAAAAAGAAACAAAGAAAGAAATTAAAATAAAACTACATTGTTTTTTACTTCATTTTTCTCTCAAGCTGAGTAATGGTGACACCAGTAGACCTTCTATTATGGAAAGGGATAGGTAGAAGTTTCTCTGCCTCCTGCCTGTTCCCAAATAATTCACTCAGAGGCTCAATATTACTTATAAATACTCAGGTGGTAGCTCAGACTTACTACTAACTAGCTGTTACACTTAAAGTAACCCATAATTCTTATTTGTGTTTAGCCACATGGCTTCATCCCTTTTCTCAGTCCAGCCTTTTCATCTTGATTGCTGTGAGTCCAGCTAGCAACTCCTGACTCTGCCCTTCCTCTTTCCTGAGTTCTCCTAGTCTGTTCGCCTTGCCTATACTTCCTGCCTGGCTACTGGCCAATCAGCTTTTTATGAAACCAATTCAAGTGATAAATCTTTACAGTGTACAAGAGCATTTTTCCACTGCTGAGGGGAAAATTCTTATGAGGCTCCTAAGCCCAGATAGAAACCTTCAGGCAAATAGGGGGTGCTGAAAATGGGAAGAACAGTCTTTCTCAGAGAACAGACTAACAACTGCTTCTCTAATACCAAGTGGTCAGCTCTGAAATTATATGTGGACAAGTAAAATCATATGGGCTGAGCAGGCAGCACTTACCTATTAACGTGTGTATATCCATATATATGTAACAACAATGATACAAAACAGAGACCACTCAGCTTCTAGTGTAGTGATGATAAACAGATGATAGATATTGAAATAAAACAAAAGAATCTAGTAAGGAAACAGTGTTTTATTCTTTAAACAGCAAGGAAAAATTATTAAGAGAAATTGGCATATATATGATTAGTCTGGCTCAAATGGTTAACATTTCTTGAATTATATAGCAATTATGAGTATTCATTTGGATAAAGTGATAAAGTCTGACTGGTATCCAAAATCCTCAAAACAGTTAAACTTCACACAAGAATTATAAAACTCCTGTATGAAAAGTCAGTGTTCAAAGAGTCCTGGCTCTCCCAGGCCCAGAACATCAGTGGGTGCTACAGCTCTAATTAAACGGATTTCAATTTACTCCCAGTCCTATTTTCTCACATTTAAATAAATAAGTAAATAAATTGAAGTTCCTCAAGTAAAACTTTGATTGTGAGTGAAGAATGAGTGTTTTTACTTTTGTTGAAGTTTTAAGCAGTTAAATGCAATAGAAATGTGCAGTATGTTGAGACATCCAAATTCAGTACTATGAAATATAAGTATTATGTGACTTCCTTGTTAGGCTTTGTCATGTTTTCTACATTGTTGATTTTTACACGTCTCTAAGAACCTTCTCCTTTCTACCTGGTAACTCATTGGTGAATGCATGTCTTGTAAACACAGCTACTCATTTTTGAAACTTAGATTTCTGTAGTGTTAATTTATGGCATGAAACTGTAGAGCAAATTGAGAAAGAATATTCAAGACTCCTCTAAAATGCTTATAGAGTCCTTGAATTGATAATAATTGAATTTCCTGTTGAAGAATTTGTATGTATATAATAATTTTTGTTAGTTAAAGGTGAAAATAAGATGTCAATCTTATAATAAACATATAACTATATAATGGTTTATTAGGCTGGAGCGAAAGCTTCATAGGTTAAAGTATTTGCTACACAGTCATGAGTATCTGCTTAGAATCTCTAGAACCAATGTCAGCTAGACATGGTAGTGCATGTATATAATCCCAAAACTAATACAGGACAATCATCAGAATCATGCAGGGCCAGCTAGTTTGATGTAAACAGCAGTGAACAACAAAGAGACCCTGTTTCAAAAAGATGGAAGGTGAGGTCAGAAACCAGATATTGTCTTTTGTCTTCCACACTTATGTTGTATGAACTGGTACATGCACACACACATATACACATTGTACACCACCACCAAAAAGATTAAAGATAGCTTAAATCTTTCCCGATATATATATATGTCCTAAAACAGCTCAAAACCTTTTATCCAGTGGCCTTGAAGTAGGTATTATGTTATGGTCCCTCACCTTCCGATTCCCTTTGTGCAAAAACAATAATAAATACCTAATTTTTTAGTAATTAAAATTTTTCCAGGCTACCAGAATACATTGGGAGGTCAGATCATCAAGGTGCTGGTCTGTATATTACCTTTATCACTTTTAGTTAAATAAAATCAGCATATCAATTTGCCCAGTGAGCTTGTCAACTTGGGACCAATGTTGTGTCACGTGGACATTCTATACTTACTATACTAATTCCTAGTCTCATATACACGTGGTGAAACACATTTGTTAAAAAACAGAACATCAACCTTGTAGAAGGAGGGAGTGGAGTCAGCTCACAAGAAGAACAAGAAAGAAAAGGACAGAAAAAAAATTAAATGACAGGCATCAAAACCATGCCAGGCTGAAAAACTATAGACAGAATGGAGATGTTGCTTCTCTTTTTTCTTGAGCATGGTGGGTAACTATTAATTCGAAATCCAAAATGGATGAGAGTATGAACATTCCTAACACAAAAATTATCAATAGTCGAAGTCCATTAATTTCATTTGATTCTCAAATATTATGTGTGTACAAAATCACCACAATTTACCATG